AGCACTTTAAAATGAGACCAGTTTAAAAAAAGACGTGTTAACACGTAAATTGCGTGTTAACACGTAAATGACGTGTTAACACGTACCAACGTGTTAACGCGTAAATTACGTGTTAACGCGTAAATTACGTGTTAACACGCAATTACGCGTTAACACGTTTGTTGCAGACGTTTTGGCCCCAACGGCCTTCCATACCAAGGAAACCCATTCTCGTGTGCTCTGACGCAACCGCCCATTTTTGGAAACATGCGTCAATGGACGAAACCATGTGTGAAATGGGGGTGACCGCGCAAAGAAAATTGTTTTCAAACAAATTAAGTTATTTCAAACACTTAATTTTTTGCTGAATATGATTTACAAATTAATAATTACTCATATGTTCCTATAAATGCTTGACTTAATGTCAGCGTTTGGCTTTTTTCTCCACAATGTACACTGCGAAGCCCCTTTTGCTACACGGGATATAAAGTCTGTGACGCGGAGACGCAGGTTGGCGTTCATAAGCAGAGCTACGAAATAGAGTAGTGCCATTTAAGTGAGTCATCTAACGGCGTGACCTGTAGAAGTAGCTCTGAACTTCACTTTGTCGCCAAAATCAGTTCAACAAAGTCCATTGCGGCACACTCATCACTGCCGTGAGTCACTGCTATAGGAACAGGACTAAACTACGAGAGCACCGGGTTCACTGAAGAAAAGTAGGTGCTTCACAGTTTTGTTTTTTGTTTTGTTTTTTCATTTTCATCCGGTTCTAGTAGAACATCTCGGTAGCGATGATTATAAGGCATTAGTTACACAGGAGCATCTATTTATTGGACTATTAAAAGGCAACATAAATTGGGAGTGCAGACTTTTTTAATAATAAAGTATTATTCCTGGATTTATCATTTTAAAAAGTATTTTGGAATATCATTTTAGATTAGGTATAAAGGAATCCCTTTGCTTGGAAGTGATTTTTTTTGCCACTGAAGACACTGGTCGTCTGGGAATTCATTTTCATCCATCTGAAATTTCCTCCTCTTTCCCTGGATCATGTACCAGGATTACACCGGGACATACGACACATCCTCCCGCGGCAGCAGCAGCTCACCGGCGCACCCGGACACCAGCCCCATCCCCGCCTCCAGTTACCAGGTATGCACAGATGTGTCTCAGCGCCCGTATACACTTTACATGCTTAGACTGCGCTCTTCGAGTTTACATTATTAGATCTACACATGAATTCAAACTCACAGCGTGCACTTATGCACATCAATATATTATCCTCTTGACACATTCCATGCATTATTAAACAGCAACTTGCGAGTACAGTAATAAGCCATTAATATCTACTTATTAAAGTCCCTATAGTAGGTATACATCTGCGATTTAGCCTAAATGGCAATTTCTACACGACTGGCAATCACTGAAGGTTAATGGTCGTTTTATGATGTAAACAGAACTGCATTTAGTGATTCTGTGCTGTGTTTGATGAAGAAGCAATCACGAGTGATGTGCTTCAAGCTGGACATTCGATTCTTGCGTATGCAAACAGACGATGCGCCCTTACCTGAAGTACCCTATAGGCTACCCTCGGTATACAGTATCCTGTTGTGTGGGTGTATGAGCGCAACTAAACGATCAGGTTTTTAATGGTTTTTAATAATTATGTCGAAAGAAAGTACATTGAGAAAGCCCATATCTCCACAATAGTATGCGCGACATCCACTGAGATTCCGTCTGGCTCTAAATGATCCCTTTTCCCCGTGATGACATTTATTATAGGCTATAGTGCGCATGTCGGCACTAATAACATTTTGTTTCTTTGGAATTAAGCATCTCGTCAGTCGTCAGATAAGGGCAGTGGCGTGGGTGGTGTGCGTAATGTATAATAAACCCACGGATTGTGCGCACGTAGTGACCAAAGGATGCCACACTTCCGGGACTTCCACTTCATAACCTTCATGAGTATGTTTAGTAATGGGTTGTTTTTCTGAAAATACCCTTCCACTGGCCGTCTTTATAGAGAGTATAAAATTACCACAATTCAAATATTAATCTAAAAACTAATTGGCCAAACTTTGGGCTTGTTTTAGACGTTTTCCTCTATCTTGGCGGGTCTGTATGTTGAAGTGAAATGCCAGTATATGGGCTTTCGCCTTACAAAAAATATGTTTCTAGCCTATATCTAATGTTTTGTTTGCGGGCAGTTTAGTTTTTTGCTCACTAGACGTTGGTTTTTGAATTTATTACAGCACATGTCAGAAATTCCCGAACATGGTCACCTTGTAGGGTTGCCGTTTTACTAAACACATGGAATAAACTGCCCCCTTTCGATTCCAGCGTGTGTTGTTTTGACTCCTTCGGGGGAAAATCATGCTGAGGGGAAAATTGTGTACTCAAGAAAAGAGCAAAGCGCCAATTTCGCAACACGAGACAGAATGATAGAACAGTTCAGTGATTCAGTAGCCTATGTTAAGTCGGTGGGATACAAACGCGACAGTTCCTGGAAGTCAGTGTAGTCTTTCGCAATACTTTCCCTCTAAAAAAAAAAAAAAAAAAAAAAAAAAAAAACTTCTTTATCTTTTTAAGCAATATACTCTACTATTAAAAAAAAAAAAATAAAAAAAAAAAAAAAAAAAAAAA